TAAGCCGCCTGACGCGCAACTTCCTCCCTTGACTTGGAGTTAGCTCTCTCCCACAAATTAGGAAGCTTCTCCATATGTTCGGCCCAATCTTCCACAGCCTGACCCTCCGAACATTCAAGGGCCTGCTGATCTTGGGTTCTTCTGAACGTCAAAGGAGGTACCGGCTGACGCCCAAACATGAGCATCGCAGGACTATATCCGGTGGCGCTATGAGTTGCCGAGTTCAACGCGAAGTTGAACTCTGACAGGTGTTCATCCCAGCTCTTATGATCACGGCTTACGTAAGACGTGATCATGGTCTTGAGTGTCCTGTTTACTCGCTCTGTGGGATTCGCTTGGGGATGATACACGGGAGTCAAAGCGCGCTGGATGCCGTTCATCTGCAGGTATGAATCGACCTCCTGATTCTTAAATTCGGTTCCATTATCCGACAAGAATACCTCTGGCGCACCAAACCTAGTGACGATCCTCTCGTGTAATTCCCTTGCGATTGTCTTCCCATTGGCCTTGCGTATCGCAACACACTCTACCCAGCGAGTAAACAAGTCTACAAAGACTAAGATGTACTCAAAACCTCGAGAGCTTTTGGGAAATGGACCAGTGATATCACAGGCCACCACCTTCCAGGGTCGTGACACTTATCTACGACTCATCAGCCCGCATGGTGCTCTTTGTTCCACCTTGCATTGCTGACACACCGGGCAACTCTTTATGTACTCCCTGACCTGATCATACATCTTAGGCCAGTAGTACAAGCGCCTAGCCCTGGAGAACGTACGCTCTCGTCCCTGATGCCCTGCTGTAGGAGCATCATGGACCTCCTGGAGCACCTGGTGCCTTTTCTCCCTAGGCACCGCAAGCTTCCGCGCTTCATCGTTGTCGATGGACCCTTCACTGTCCTCGTCAGGCTGATAATGATATAGCCTCCCTCCCACTACCTTCCAAGTAGGGTGAGAGTATGGGTCTTGGCATACTTTCTGGTATTGTTGCAAATACCAGGCGTCAGTGGTCTCCGGCCGACTATTTATGGCACTCACTTCAATCCCCTCCTCCTCATAGGCCCTAGACAATGCGTCAGGCACCACATTGAGATCCCCTTTTCGATATTTAATATCGAAGACATTGCCTTGCAATGCTAGCGCCCATCGCGCTAGTCTTCCCGTGGTATTTCTCATATTGTGGAGTCATTTCAGGCAGCTATGATCAGTGATGACCCTGAAGTGATGCCCTTCAATGTACGGCCGGAACTTTTCAATAGCCCATACCACTGCCAAGCACTCTTTTTCTGAGACCGTATAATTTCTCTCAGCGCTGTTGAGTGATCTACTAGCGTATTCTATCACACGCTCTTCTCCATCGACATCTTGCGTGAGAACTGCCCCGATCCCAAGATACTAGACTGGGTAGTATTTCTATTTGATGGGTCGAGCATTACCAACGTCTATTTCGTGCTCAACCCCCACGGCACAGCCTAAAGCCTGACCTCCGTCAGGAATCAATCCATTAACGAGGTCTTCTATTTCCTCCAGCTATGTTTTCGTGGCCTCTCACAGTCCTACCGGTGCGAGAAATGCCGTACCATCAATTCCAGCCACTTCCATTGGTACTTTCACTTGGGCGTCCTTAAGCCATAACTCATCCTCGTCGGGATTCAAAACTGCGCGGAACTCTCTTATAAAGTTAGCGCCTACGTAGCAGTTGTCCGTGAGCAGTGGCGTAATGGCGATTCTGATTTCCTTCGTGATTCCTCCTACTTTAAAGGGGAACATCATGTGACCCATTATAGGGCATGGTCGCCCATCAGCGAGCCTTACATCGCCCGCTCTGGTCACATTCAATCCGAGTCCCATCTCCGATGCCAATCTTAGCCCTAATTGACCCATGACCGTGGATGAGTCACCGGTATCATAGAGTGCTCTAATTTTAAAGTCACCTATGTCTACCCGCAACCACCACCTGGTCTCATCCTCATGGTCATATCCACGAGTCGCATCTTTGCCTCCCATCGTCGTGCTTGTCAGCGGCTTTTTCCCTTCCGCTGCTGCGACGACGGCGGGCTTGCTTCTACTCGTGGATCCCATCGGCAGAGGAGCTTTTTGTGTGGAGAGGCTCTCCCTGGAGCCTTCCCCCTCCTCCACAATTTGTATGTGGCCATCTGGTCCCTCCAGAATGACCACTCCTCTATTCTGCCGAGGGCTGGCATCAGGTTCGATCGCCTTTTGCTCCAACATACTGCTAGGCACCGGGCTCTCTTGATGCCCTTCCAGGACCTGTTTGGATCCCTGAGTTGCCGACAACTTGCTGTTTCCCATCGGCGATCCGCAGCGAGAGGTCGAATCTACTGGAGGCGCGAAGATGGCCTCTTCTCTTCGCTCTCCTTGCCGTTTCCCTTATTGCTATCTGGGCAGAATTTACGACTAAATCCCAGTTTGCCACAAGCGGAACACTGGAGAGGCTTGGTGAATTCGATCTTCCGCGTTTGTCCTTCTCGCCGCTCGCCAGGAGACCTGGGAGAAGGAGAATTTTTCCTTCTCCCACGCCATCGGCTCTTACGCTGTTCTGGAGGGCTGCCTTGCTTTTCATGCACTTGCTGACGAGGTCCTGGTCAACGGGGGGCTCGCCGCTGCCGCCGTCCTTCTGATCCACGTGAATCCTCATGGCGAAGTTGGTCAGAGTATTGGAGCACTCAGCCATAGTTTTGGTACTGCTCCAGCTGGTTCTGACCGAGTCGGTCTCAACGTTGAGCAGCTGCCAGTCGGCCAGCTCACGCAACGCCAACTCCTCCCCGCACTCAAACTTGCGCAGGCAGGTGGTCTGCTGGGGCGTTAGCACCAGACCCTTGGTCAGTAGCTGTCGGCGAAGACACGAGTTCTCTTGGAGGATCTCGGTCTCACGCACCTTCCATTGCTTAAGGCGCTTCCAGTCGCAGACCGCGCGGTAACACTTGGCCAGACGCTCCATGCAGAAGGCCGCCACTTGAGTTGTCTCCGCAAGCTCTCCGCTGCTGGTGGCGGCTCCGGTCACCTTGGCCGGCGACTCGGGGAAGCAGAATCGCGAACGGTTCGATTAATTAAATCGACTACCGTTGCAAACATTACTTGCTTGAAGATAAATTTTACTAGTATGTGCACGTGTGTGTGTTTGTGAACGTAGTGATTTATTTTTGATGTTATTATAATTACTGTACCTCCATGTGCTTTATTGAGTGAGTAATTTATTTTATGCCCAGTATAGTTCGGTATGTTGAGATAGTTTTTGCTTGTAAGTGTGTTTTTGACATTAACGTAATGTCTATGTTTTCGTTAATTAAAGATTTTCTTAGTTCAAGATGTCTTTGCATACGTCCACTTGGGATTCAAATAGCTAGTTAGCTAGTTTTAATTTACTCATTGCGCTATTTTAATATGGTCGCCATTCTTTACATTAGCTGCTCTATCATGTATTCAAATTACTTCTGTTTATGTCGTTGGTGTGTTTATTTGGCTGTGCCTGTGTATTTATTTATTTTGTTTCTAAATCTGTCTTGCTCTGTCCGTTTTGTTTTGTCATTATTTGGGCGGATGTTTTGTTTCGTCTGGATTATAAATAAATTAGGTTGATTCCTGTTTAGAGTTAAAGTTTTCTCTTTTAATCTGAGGAATAATTTTTGATCCAGCTCTTTGAAAACTCGACATCCTTTGTAAAGTGAAGTATAGCTTCTCATCCGTATAGTCGGATGGATACACGAGGGAATCATAGTCCTTCCAGTCACGTGAAAGATATTCGTGGAAAACCTGGTTCCGAAACACCTCCAGGTCTTGTACCCTCATGTAAACTTGGAGATCATCGGCCTCCTGGCCATTATCCATGCTTGCATTACCGCGATTTCCGGTTGCTGATCAATCCATCACAGCAGCAGTTCACCCTTCCAAGCAAGTTTTGCCGATCCACCAAGATTAACCTATCCGATAAGCTGCTGGGCACGTTCACCTACACCTAATCCCAACATGTCAATACCGTGCGTAAACACAAACAATAAATGACGGTTAGCACGACAAACAATATACACTAATTCAATAGTCAGGCTTATCAAAGCACACGTGTCAATCTTACAAGCGCGGTGTCCGGTAATGCCTTACAAGCCTTAAAATATCTAGTTATTTGGTGATAAGAACATCATTTTCTATTATAAACTTAAATTTCAACTAGATTTTCATATAAACTTTAAATCTTATTAAATGTTCTTATGAACCAACGCTACTCTAAGATGAGATGTTTGCAGATTATTTAATGTTACTTTAGATTTAATTCAAATGGTCAATTTAAAAGTATTAATTTACTTACTATTATTAAAAATCAAAGTAAAGCGTTATAAAACGTTTCCTTCGAATTGCAATGAAAAGAAAAAGCATAGCATCAAGGGAAAAATAAAAATTTTATAATCTTCTCCCTTTATCGACTTGTGTACGCGAATGCTGCAGGTTTTTTATCCTGTATGTCAGTGGGAAAAAGTAAGGTAAAGAGTGAGTGCGTACTAATCGAAAAGACATAGGCCTAACCCAATACCAGTTACTTCACATAAGCTATAAATTACTAGTCTAAAAAATGCATCCATCCAAATTATTCTTCAGAATAATTCGTAAACTGCATAATTCTGTAAACTAAAGAAAAAATATTTAATTAAAATTAACGAAACGTCACAGTAGATTATTATGATTTATTTAAAACCATCATTGTCATATTACTGTAGTATAGGAATTGAATTCGGAAAATTATGTACTCACGGTAAAATGTTGTAGGTTGGATGTGACATGTGAGACAATAATCCCGAGTTTTTTCGCAATGTTTAATCGGTATAAAATTCACATTAATATCGTAACTTGCTCAGATGACGTAGTTGTGATTTATATGTATGTACTGGTATATACAATGATCAAGTTAATGGAACATATTTTTTTGAACGAAATATTAACAAACTATTAATTAAATACGTATATTGAGCATCTCTCCAAAATATTTACCTGGATGGTTCCTCTCCATTTATCAGCAGCATGTTTAGCTAGTTCTACTTTTTTCTGTTTGCGAATTTGATGTTTTTTATATGCCATTTCGATAATGATTAACATAATTCCACCAATAATACCGGCACCAACCAATATGAAAACGCCAGCCATATTTTTGAGACCTAGTGTATTGGGAGTTTTTTCAAATTGTTCACACTGCTGTAAATTTCCTTGTAATATCCAATAATTATCCAGACTCTCCATGAATCCACCTGAAAATAGACATAAGTCATTAGTTATTCTTTAAGGGGATTACTTTGTTAACTATATAAAAAACAAATATTCACATGTAATAAATGCTTTGAATGACATAATTCAAAAATCAACGATTACTAACGGAAATTCTCAAATTTCTAGACATAATAAATCATCTACAGATATGGTTTATGGGATGTCCATTTGTAATTAAGACTAAAATTATGTTTTAAAAGAAGGGACGAATCAGTGTTAAACAGTGGAAATTGAAAATTTTCATTGTTAATATAATAATATGAATAATAATAATAATAATACCGGACTGGTTCAGTGAATGGTTACACCTCACTGGACAAATGCTAGTTTCCAACGTCCACGACCGTGCCCGGTGAAAACGTTGTCCGTCGCGTCAATGCTCTGAGCAGCAATGCTATAACGGATACGGCAAAGAGGAAGATATGGCTCACAAATGATGCAAAAGATAATGGTATTCTACCGATGTGCCCAACCATTAATCACTTACACACATCTACACTCACACACTACACAAACACTTACACAAACACTTATACACACATGCCTCTTGGCAAACCGGCGAGATGAATGCTCGGCGATCCTATAAACTGGTCTTACCGAAACCGCGAATGCCCGGGGACTCCTATAAAAGGATCCGCCCGAAAGCGAATGAAGGAGATCCCCGTGAATGAAGCCCGGTTTTTCCACTACGGGTACTCACAATCACGCACACACTACAGGAGGAACACTGAATGCACAGGGCGGAGGAGAGGAGACCTTAGGGGCCGTACGTTGTTCCAGCATGGTTCGTGGAGTCGCGACCATGAGGGACTTTTATCACAACGGGACGAAACCACACCATGAAACTGCATAAAAAAACACTAATTTACCTCAAGTGATAACCCCTCCTCAGAGGGAATCCACCCCGGGTTCTGACGGGCAGCGGCATGGATTTTGAGGGCCGCATTTTGTGCACGGGGAAGAGGAGGACGACACGAAATAATGACACGAATAAGAACTTACTAAACATACCAAGACGATAGAGAACAGACAGTGTGTCAAGCGGTGGCACCGGGGTGAGCTACACCTCTGCCGCTGTCAGCCAAGAACAGCCGGCAGAACGAACATTCCTAACGACAAACAATACACGAGACGTGACTGAATTGCTATGGGTTATACAAGAGACGGCAACGAAAATGGCCAAAGCAGCAAACGTATAAAGGAACATGATTATGATAGTGAAGACGGGAATTAAGACATTTCTCGAGACTGTGGACAATGCGTTGCACAAGCGATCAAACGCAGTTTCGGGAGGACGTCTTCAAGACAACAACAATACAGGCACGACAGTGGAAAATAACGAAGAGATGCCACGGACGAAACGGAAATGTTCGCCGGCCGGAACCATGCCGGAGCCCTCACAAAATATACCACCGACACAGCAGAATCAGGCCAGAAACAACCAACAGGCAGAACCGACCAAAGACTGGTAGACGGTCACACAAAAAATAACAAATAAAATAAAAAAGAAAACGGACGCAAAGAATTGGTCTGACAGCGGCGGATCGGCTCACCGGAAAAGAGGACTGGCTGTCCTGATCAGGTCGGGCACGGACACGACGTACTCCGATATAGTACGGAAAATACGGACGACGATCGACCCGAAGGAGAGCTATGTGCAGGTGACGACTTTGAGGAAGATGAAGAACGGCTTATGCCTTCTGAACCTACAGGTAGACGCAGACAAACCAGACGGATGAGAAGTGTTTAGATGACAGATCTAAGATGCGATCGGGGAAGCGGGCAGTGTCAGGGCTATGACCTCCAAGGTCCAATTGTAGATCATAGATCTGGACTGCGTTGTGACTCCTGTAGACGAAACAGACGTGTTTAGACGAGAGACGGAATGAGACGCGGACTTCCGAGTCTACATTTTCGGTCCGAAACGCGCTGAACAGTATATGGCGGTCCGCGAATTGGAATTGCGGGAAGCCGATACATTGCTTCGCCATGGTCGGATCGGAATTGGCTGGGTGCACTGCCGCGTTCAGAAACGACTGAAGGTCACAAAATATTACAGATGCCTGAGCTTCGACCATGTGAAAGCTGAATGCACAGGACAGGATGAAATGCTACCGCAAGTGTGGCACATCCGAACATACGGATGTAAAAACAGAAATGTAAAAATGTAAAAACAAGGAATGTACAAACAAACCGGTCTGCCCACTGAATTAGGATCGCAGACATACTCCTACCTCAAATAGCCGATGAATGGAACGCGGACATCCTGATCCTATGTGAACTATACAGGAGAAGGACGATCCAGACAGAGATCATTGCTATCTGGGTAAGGGGAGACACCCAATCTAGAGTCTCCAACCACGGTGTCGGGGACGTCTATGTCTGGAGTACAGTCGGCGCTGTCACTTATCTCAGCGTTTATCTGACACCCAACTACACCGCGGTGGAGTTCGAAAGAAAAGCGGCACTCCTAGAAGATCGAATCTAGGACCTGCCCGGGATGTCATCGTTGCGGGGTATTTTAAAGCGAGGGCAATCAAGTGGAGAATGAATGAAACAAATCAACGTGGACGACTACTGCTGGAAATGGCCACAAGGCTCGACCTAGCAGTGGTAAATACGGGACATTGACCGACGTACAGACGGTCAGGGGTTGGAGACTCCATCCCTGACGTGACGATGACATTGGACAGAATCCTGCCACGGCTGAAGGGGTGGCGGGACGGACCACAAAAAAGACAACCACAATACTGGTGGACGGACAAGATAGCCGAGCTACGCAGGATATACCTGGCAAATCAGCAATGACCGACGAGGGCTGGGGGAAGACCCGAAGGGGAAAATCTCCAGGCCATATACAAAACAACACGGAAGACACTGAAGAAAGCAATATGGGACAGCAAGATGCGATGGTAGAGGAAGCTCTGCGAGGAGGTATCGCGTACAAGATTGTGACAGGCAAACTGGAGACCCGTGTCCCACCGGAACTAAAAGATGATCAAGCAACAGGATGGATTGTTGACGAATTGTTTCCGATGTATCCGATTCGGACGAACGTAATGGACAACGTAGTTGCACCAGTGCTCTGGTTTTTAGCGCTGAGGATCTCACCAGAGCAACGAATGCGATGAAGACGGGCAAGGCGCCGGAGCCAGACAGAATAATGATCGAGATCCTCTGACTCGTGGCTCGTCTGTGGTTGGAAATACTTCTCGACTTGTACAACACATGTTTGACGACAGGAATGTTCAGCGACCGGTGGAAAGAGGTAAGGTTCATCCTTATTCCAAAAGGTAGGAGCGATCCTGGTACGCCTTCGGCTTACTGACCGCTGAGTTTACTTGACACGACTCGTAAACTCTTTGAACAATTACTGAGATCGAGACTTACGGACGCGATACAGACTGGAGGGGAACTCTCGGACTTGCAGTTCCATTTCAGGAGGGGCCAATCGACGATTGGAGCGATCCAAAAGGTGGTTGACTCTTTTCTAAAACTTGACAGACACTGCCACATGGCACAACCTATCATGTTGCTGACAACGCTCGACATTAGGAATGCTTTCAACTCGACCAGGTGAAGAGATATCTTGGAGGCGCTGAAAAGCAACTTCGGGATCCCATCACACCTGGTCCGGGTTGTGGAGGATTACCTGAAAAACAAACGGATAACGTACGAGACGATCGAAGGACAGGTAATGAGACAGGTTACCGCTGAGACCTAATTTCTGGAAAGTTTTATACGATAACCTGTTTCGGCTTGGGATGCCGCTCGAAGTAACCCTAGTCACCTACGCTGATGACTCGGCGGCGGTGATCACGGATTAGTCTCCAGAGCTGGCGCAGCTGACGTTAAACCAGATCATGAGATGAGTTGGACGATGGATGACAGACCATGGACTGCAACTCACAACAGAAAAAACGGAACTTACGTTTCTCACGAGAAGACGCATACAGACGATACTATAGATGAGGGTGGGTACATACGAGGTGGAGACCAAGAGGGAAGTCAAGTACCTTGGGGTACCCTCGATACGAAGATGGCCTTCTGACCTCATATACATAAGTATATGAGGACCTGGGAAAGCGGCAGAGAGGATAGCATCCTGAAGTCGCGTGATGGCAAATACGATGAGATCGAGATCGGAGAAACAGAGACTGTTTATGACGACAAGATGGACAGAAGAACGAGGTGACGTCACTCGAATTACTTTAAAATAATTTATAGAGGCATCCGTAAGCTACTCCAAGTGAAAACTACCTTTTTACATCGTCAGTAGATAAGCAATGTATGTTTTGGGACACAAAGGAGCCGACAAAGGATGCCGCCAATGTATAAGGGATATGTATATGTTCTGGGACATAAAGAGGCCGCCCGATGAAGGAGTCGCGGTATCACACTACCGCGACACCTTTTAATCGCGATAAGGTGAGACCCCATGCTGAGTGTCTAAAAGGCATTTGATGTACCTTTGACACCTCCCGCTGAGTACCTAAACGGTAATCGATGTAGCTTATGCATTGAAGATGCGTCGCCAATGCATAAGGTATATGTGTATGTCCTGAGACAGAAGCCAGCCGGCCCTTCGACAGAGTGCCCCCCCACCCACCGTCAACACTCACCCACCCATCCACCTACAGAGGTTGTTAAGGTAGGTTGCTGTATAAGTCGGTAGGGTATTTGGTAAACTATATGATGGTCTCTCTCTCTCTCTTTCTCTCTTTCTCTCTCTGTCTCTCTCTCTCTCTCTCTGTCTCTCTCTCTCTCTCTCTCTCTCTATCCCTCTCTCTCACTCTCCTTTGATAGTAAGGCGCTTAGTAAGCTTATGCTGACTGAGTGTGGGCCTTCAGAGAGGGAATAGCGTCTCTAGCTTGCTAGGCGCGTACGCCGTATAGTACGGATGCTGTTCTCTTTCTCTCTCGCTCTTCTTCGATAGTAGGGCGCTTAGTAAGCTTATGCTGGCTGAGTGTGAACCCTAGCA